GATAGGAGCAGGCAGTTTCCCGTCATTCACATTACCAAGAATTGACTATGTATTTTTATTGGATTTAAGTCCAGACTGTTTGCTGGCCACTTATTTTTCATCCGTTAATGTAGAATTGTATCTGACAGGAACACCTAGGTCTCTAGAGACATATAAGCTGTGGATCAGTCCTGACATGTCCGGAACAAATTGAGTCGCGAATTTTGGCCTCATCATGCGATTTAGTTCCAATATTTTAACCAGGTTTTGTTTTAGGATCTCAGTCTGCAATATTTACTATTCTTTCGTTAACCCTGTGGTACAATGCGGAGGTCAAAGAGTACTCCAGAGGACCTTGCTCCCAACACCATGACGGCAGGGATAAATTTTGAAACCATATTAATACTTGTAGCCCAAAACACGTGATTCCGTTTCTCCTTGGATAGAAGAGTTCAGCCGGCTTGTTTCCAATCGTCTAGTCCACCCCCTGACCAGCTTACAGAAGATCATCCTATCTATGAGCTGTTTTTCTGTAAAAGACGGCAACACCCAACATTCCTTGAAAATACCCTAGAACAATGGGCTTATAACCGTTCAGGCATTCAGTTTATTTGCGAATTTCTTTCTGCTTTGCCTTGATTTACCAACGCATTTTCCAACAACGTTTTTTTTTCAACACTCCCCAAAATGCGTTGGCTTCCTGAGTTCTGCTTTGTGGGGGTAACTGTCCGTTTCTGCTGTGACCATGAGTAATGTACCGTCCTGATAGATACACATACGGCTTACTAACCTCCACTCGCTTCTATGATGCCCCAATCATACCTATAGCTCGAACATTGCCGTCTGAATATCCCAACTTCAAGATCCAATAAATTGCTTTTTACAGTTTAGGAGTTTGCCATTATACCTGTACTTTTATACCGTATAATAAACACTAGGTACAGACTTTGGTTAAAAAAATAATTTACCAATGATATTGCTGACAATCCAATTTTAAAAAAATCTTACTGCTTAATGGCGCCTATAATTTTGGGACACCCTATAACAGTGGTAGATTTGATGAAACTGCTACTGACCTACATAACGAAAACTATTTGGAGAAAATACTCACTGGCTGAGTAAAGTGCCCACGGGCTCGACTACGGAAGAAGCGGGGGCCCTGGACACCCGAGGGAGAAGACGGAGTTCCAGAATTCTAATAAAAACAAAAAAACGTTGTGTAAACATTGTACAGTCTTGATAATATTGAAATCCTCGTCTTTATATAAATTTGCATAAGTAATACAATACCTTTACTGAAGACTATCTTTTAGACAGCTTTGAAGTGAAAGTGAAGGTCGGAGTTAACAATGACCGATCGTAGCACTCCATAATACCTCAGAAACAGGAAAAACGGCACCTCAGAGGATATTGCAACCGAACCAACGAGTTTACCTACCTTTAGCGCTTCCATTATTTGCTCCACGTCAGCCTTCACCTTAAGAAGGTTTTTCCAAATGGCAGCTATATTTTTCACGGATTTTTCGGGAACCCGGTCTCGTAGCATAATGTCCTCCCAGGACTTTAAATCAACTTCCACTTCTCTGAGGGTTATACTGGCAATATCCACTAGTTCTTGCGTTTCCTCCTGAAAAGTCGACACCAATGTGCTGTACATCGACTTGCAGTAAAACACGGTTCTTGGTAAAAAAAAATCAATTTACTGTCGACCGTTCGCATACAGTAGATATAAAGGAATAACGTTTCGCCGATGGCAGAACATGCAAAATGGAGCCATTTCTATTAAATGAAACCATTTTCGTGCTGTTTATAGGTTTTTATGAGAGCACATTTGCATCAATTTGAACAAGAGTTTCGCGTTTGAAAAAGGGTATTAAACTATCGATGACGATCACTTCTTCACTTCATTGTTTTCAATAAAATTCGCCTTATTTCTAAATGTTGGGTCGTACAAGTCGATACCAATATATCGGTGCCAAACACAGTTATTCAACTTTCGTATAAAACTCGATTGTTCTTTCAGGTCTTCCACATAATACGCACTTATCACGTCAACCCAATAAGTTCTAGTCAGTGTATAATAAGAAAGAAAACTGCAGGCAAATAATGCAAAGGATGCTAGTGTTCCTCGGAACAATTTGAACATTCTTGTATGCTGTCGAACATGTGCAAACGTACAGTAGCCGCCGAAGACCATGCAACGCT